ATCAAGCTTCTGGTGATGCACAGAAAGATCCATCAACACCAAAGCCACCTCCAAACTAGCATTTCAGTAGAAGTCTGCTTCCCGATTGCCTGGATAAGATTGAACTTGCTGCCAAGTTTTAAAGGGTGTTTGTGGTTTCTCAGTGAGCTTGCAGACGATGGCGTAGGGGTTTTGCAGAAGGAGTAAATGGAGGTTGCATCAGGATAAAGCACACTTTGGGGTTTTTGAAAGCCTGACCCTGGCACTGCCTTCCAGGACCATGGAGCGAAGTGCCAGTGCCTTTGGAGAGGCTGTGCCCTGTCTTGCTGGGTTACAGCCCGTCTCCAGGGCTCCCCAGCTTGCTGGGAACAGATGTGGCAGGGCAGGTGGCAAACAGATTTTGCAGGGTGGAGGTATTTTTGGATGTGTGAACAGAAATAGCAATGCACCTGGATTTCTTGAGTGTCCTTGGCAGGTTGGGCAGAGGGAACAAGGGGGAGAGAAGTGGTTGGTCTTCAGGGCTATCTTCACTATTTGTGTGGCAGCTTCAGAAGAGTTTTATTCTGTGATTTAACATTTTATTCTGCCCTTTGGCTTTTGCTGTATTGTCTAAGAATTTTTCTTCAAAAATCTCAAAATATCAGGAAGATGTGGTAATAGCAACAAAGAAGAGTACCATCTTACATGGTCATTAAAAATGTATAAGTAGTTTCAGAATCAAGTTGTTTCCTCTGAGAAGCAAATAGTCCATAATTCTGCTTGGTATTTAGAGACTCTTATCTCCAGAGAGAACTCAAAACTATTCAGTATAGTCTTGATTTATTTTATTCTCTTGACTTTTCAGAGCTAAAGATGAAGAAGGGCTTAACAGAAAAAGAATTACATACTTGTGCTGTGCAGAGAGAAGCCAGGGGCCAACTCGTGATCCACCAGCTATTCAGCAATTCACATATGTCCTGGTTTTGGCTGGGATAGAATTGATTTTCTTCCTAGTAACTGGTACAGTGCTGTGTTTTGGATTTAGTATGAGAACAATGTTGATAACACAACACACTGATGTTTTAGTTGTTGCTAAGTAGTGCTTACCCTAAGTCGAGAACTTTTCAGTTTCCCATGCTCTGCCAGCAAGGAGGTATGCAAGAAGTTGGAAGGGAGCAGAGCCAGGACAGCTGACCCCAACCAGCCCAAGGGATATCCCATACCATAGAATGGCATGGCCAGTACAGAAACTGGTCAGTGGATGGTGAGCAGTTGTATTGTGCATCACTTGTTCTTTTTTTCCCTTGGGTTTTATTCCTCTCTCTGTCATCTCATTTTTCATTACTACTACTATTATTATTAACATTATTTCAGTTATTAAACTGTTCTTATCTCAACCCACAGGTTTTACCTTTTTCTGATTCTCCTCCCCATCCCACCAGGACCTGTTTGTTCCTTTGAGAGGAGAAACCTTGATGTTAGGCTAGGAAAAAAAATCCTTCCTCTGCTTTTCCTCTCACCCTAAGTCTTGAATTCCAGTGTCTGTTCCCACTGCTCGGTGGCACAGGTGTGCTGGCGGGGAAGTGTCCTTGGGTTGCGCTCCCTGGGTATTTTGCAAGAACCTCCATCAACCAGATGGTCTACGGGTGCAGGTCATAGAAGCCTGTGTAGTTCTGGTGTTTGGCAAACCCCAAGGTGTATTTCTATTGCTGACAGCTGTTCCCTGGGTTTATGCTCAAAAATCAAAGTACTGGGAAGCCGTTCTTAGCAATAGGTAATGCGTTAGGTGAACACAGCATCCCTCTGTGCTCCATGTTCTAGGTAATTACAACCCTGCCGTTCATGTAGCACAGCACAGCGGGAGCCCTGTATTTATTATTTAGCTTTGCTATTAACTCTAAGCTGGTGATGCAAAGGCAGCTGCTTCTCTAGGAATCTCATAATTCGCCTCTTCACCAAATCAGGCTGCAAACACGAGAGGTGGCCTTGAGGTCTGTCATTCGGAGCTGAAAGTCATGGGACCTTTTCCCAGACCTTGGCTTTTCATAGCTTGCCTGGAGTGGTTACCCTTGTGCAGTTTGTCTTTGCAGAGTCTAAAATGAGAGCCACCCATTTAGCATGGGTGATCCCATCGTGCTTTGGCAGAGAATTACAGGGGTGTTAACTCCAGCATCCTCCTCAAATGGGCAGGCATTTTCCTCCACTGCTTTGGCTGGAAACTGTGGGTTTTATCTGCCTTTCCTTGCCCTGCTCCAGAGGCATAGTTAGGCTGCTGCCCTGCTTTTCTCTCACAGTGACTGCCTTTTAGATGTAGACACAAAGTGTTTGCTGCAGGTGGGATCGTTGTATTTATCTGCACAAGGACATGATCTTAAAACTCCTTGGCAGATGATATGAGATAGATATGGCCAACGTTATGGAGAAGTGCATGCTGGTGGAGGAGGAGGCTAGTGGGGAGCGTAGCCATCGCTCTCTGTCCCCACCGGAGGAACGACCTCAGCACTGTGGCAAGGAAACCAGCTTTTAGCACCGATATCTTCTCAGGCCTGGCTCTTTTTGCATCTCTGACCTCTATGTGTGGTTGCTTTTATTCCTTCTCATTTTGTGTGAGAAATACTGACAATTCTGAGTGTTTACCCCATCCTTCCCTGGGACTAAGCCGAACCCCATGTGCTGCTGTTCCCTGTGCCCTCCTTGGTGAGTGCCGCAGGCACAGGCAGTGCAAAGGGAAGGGGCGAGAAGGGGGAGTGGGCTGGGGGATGCAGGCACCCTGCTAAAGATGATGGTGTGGTACAAGGTGCCAAGGTTTCTGCTGGTTTCTGGTACAAACACCTTTTGATCAGTTGCTCTTTTGAGCAAAGAGGTGAGCTGTCAGCAACCGGCAGGCTGCAGCAGGGCTGTGGTGGGGAAACAGCAGGGACGAGCAATTGTCGGTTTTCTCAGTTGTGTCTCAAGATGCATTTGGAGCCTTTCTCTGCCTCTCTCCCTGCAATGGCTCTAATATTCTCTTCTAGACTTGGCCAGGCAGGAGGGGCCAGCGGAGGAGAAAGAATGCAAAACGCAGCCGAGGTCTTATATCAGATGCTTTGCTAGTTGAGATGTAGTTGTTAATTGCCACTGGCTGGCAAAGGCTGCTCAGGAAGCATGCCTAGGGTTAGTGGTGCAAGAGGTCGGACCTAAAGGAGGAAAACAAGACTGTGAGTCTTGGGGAGCAGCTTTGGACCTGATCCTGAGCATGGTGCAGCTCCTCGGGGTGCAGACCTCAAGCTCCTCTTGAGGTCCCACTGGCTCCTTCTCTGGCTCTGCGGGGAAGGGTTGAGAGGGGATGTATGTGTGTGCCTGTGTGTGACTTCAGCGCTGCGAGCGCTGGTTCTGCAGCCTGGGCAGTAACACTGGTCTGAGTAAATTTGACATGATCCTGCTGTTTTGTCAATAACTTGGAAAGTTTTGAAATAACTGCTTCAAAGTGCTCAAATGATATGTTGCTCCACAATCTGTCTCTGCTGCTGCCAACACTTCCAAGTAACCAATTTACCATGCGCTTAACCTTTTAGGGCTTTTCCTCCGTAGGCATTACTCTGTAACTCCCACTAAAAGAAAGAGAAAATTGTCATTGCCCTTCTCAGAGGCGGCTAATGATTTCCAGGTTGTTTTTGGCAGCTTCTGCTTTTTAAAAATGTGTTGAGCACACAGCTTCTGAAATCAGGATGCTCTTCAAATGTCCAATTGACATTTGAGCATGGGATCCCTCAATTTTATCGAACCAAGAGAACTGGGACGCAGAAGGCAGGGCAGCTTGTGGGAGGTTCCCAAGGGAGACGTGATCCAGACAGAGGTCAAGCCCCAGGGAGTGGAGATGTGCAGGGGCTCCCTGCTCGGCCCCTGCGTTGCCTTCGTTTCTATGGCCACATCTCAATATTTCTTCTGCCTCCCTTCTCTGTCTGTAAAAAGGGGGTAGCCCCTCTGGGGAGCCCTGAGATGAGATGGAGGAAGTCTAAATGTAATCTAAAAATAGGTGAATTGAAAAATTGCAAGTAAAAAACTACACCTTTCTCGAACAAAACTCCTGGCAACTTCAAAGGCAGATTAAAGACTTTGCCTGTGTCAGGACTTCAATATTTGGCCCAAGAATTAGACAAATGGAATAGTGTGAGAATGTTTGCCAGAAAATTGGAGAAGGGAGAGATAAGGTAACAGATGAAATACTCAAAGTCAGCATTTAAGGACATTGCTGCCTGTGGAGATAATTTTATCAACTTGAGGGACAACCATTTCTCCTATAAAGTAAAATCTACCCTCTACGCAGCTGTTTAAAATGATATTTGTTAAAAATTTGTTTAACTGTGCTGTGGAAGTTTGCTGTGGGACAACCAGTGCTGTGGTGTTACCTTGTAAGAGGAGAAAAAAAATGGTCCCACTCTTGGTCTTGTCCTGAATCTGCTTGTGCCTGAAAGGGAGGACAGGAGGTGGTGACTGTCATTGGGGCAGGAGCAGTACAAAGAATTGATTTCTAGTTTGGTGGTCAAAGTGACTCTGTCTTCGACTTGCATCACTCAAATGATGTTTTGGTATGAAAATGTTTTGTCCTATCCTAAAACCAGAAGTCAGTATTATATTTTAAGTTGCAGGCTGCTTTGAGTGGGAAAAAAAAGCAAAAAAAAAAAACACAAAGGGGAGGTGGGGTGGGGAGAGAAATTAAAAATGTGACTCAATACTGATTTCCCCTTGTTTTTGTGGAAATGCTAAAAATGCCAAGATGAAATATTTGGTCTTTTCCTTGTGTTTCTTTTCTATTTTTTGTTAGAAGCTCTTTGCCCAGTTTGACTCCAATTCCTGAATAATTCATCGTCTGTAAATAGCTTCCTCCTCCTCCTCCTTTGGTAAATAGACTCTTTGTCCTGAGTGCTTGGCAAGCTCGAAGCAGTGTCATCCTGCTGAGTCGCTGGTTCGAGAGCAGAGGTGCTCACGGTGCCGCGTGTTCTCTCTCTGCAGAGTTATGTCATGCCCAGACCACCAAAGGGCTCCATGAGGATTTATAGAAGATGCCCCGTGTCTTGGCGCCTCTGGTGCTCCTTCTGCTGTGGCTGATGAAGATTGCTGCCAGCCCCCATTCCCTGAGGATCGGTGAGTACAAAGCTTGCTCTGCCCTGTGTTTAACCATCCTTCCACTCGTTCTTTGGGCCACTCTGTGTAGAAATGCTCGGACAAGGGAAACCAAGCCTTGCCTGTGGTCGCTGGCCTCTCTGCCTTGGTGGTGTGCTCCCCGTTCAGGTGGAGCTGAGGTACAGTATCCCACCTGCATTTTGGAAATGTTCTCTCCTTCGTCTTGTAAATGAAATGCAGTTTATGGTGAGTGTACGTATTTGCATTGATTTTTATGTTGGTAATGTTACCTGATGGGAATCTCTTTCTGTATAAATTTGAAGTGAAAGCCACTCCTCAAAGAGGCACTGAGGAATGAAACTTGCCCCCTCCCACGCCCTACCCACCTTGATGTTCTCCGAAGCTCCACACAAACAGAAGTAGTTTTCCGTTACAAATTGACTTGTCCCAACATTGATGAGCAAGGAGTGTTTGAGCCCAATCTGAATCTAGTTAAGCGGTGCCACAGGAGCATTAATAACTCCATTTTGTAAGAAAGTCCTATGCATTCGATCTCCTTTGGGCTTTATTAAAAAGTGTTCAGGAAGAGGCACCATCATCTTCGCTTGCTGCTTGTGCAGATTAGGGAAAAGAAATGTATCCAGAAACCTTGTAATGAAACTTACTTCGTAGTATTGACACTTTACTCTGTTGTTTAGAAAGGAAACTGCTTTTCCTGACTGTTGTCTCTGGAGCTGCTAGCTGGTTTTATGAACTATTTGTTGCAGATAAGAAGCTAATCTATTCCTGTCCCCATTTGCAACTTTCACAGGTGACACTTGAAGTAAAATTACTTCTCCCCTCTGCTAGTCGAGCACGGAGCAGCTCAGAAATATAGCAAGGGAGGGTCTGTGCTGGCAGGAGTCTAGGAAGGGTGGCTGGGTGTTTTATATCCCCAGCACCTGTGATTCATGTGGAGCACTCATGCTGCATAGTCTCAGCTCTGCAGACTGCATTTCATGTTGATCAGCGGATCCTCCACTTGAGCTAGCAGACGGGGTTGGGGATGGACAGTATGTTATCAGGATACTGAAGGTGATAGATCCTTCATTATGCCTTGTGTCCCAGCTGTCTCCTTCTGTGGGGAAAGTACTGTGGGTGCTTGGGAGTGTGAGGGGAAGGGGAGCTCCCCTGGCAGCACGCGTAGCAGCACTGGGCTGCAAACCAGTCTGGGAGCTGGCGTGGTTGCCCACCTCCACAGCACAACCCAGAGTGAAATGAGAGGGTGTTTGAGAGAGGTGGGACTGTGCTTTTGTGTTTCTGGCTGAGGACTGGAAGTGAAAATCTGTGCTGCACTGCTCTGGGGGCAGCTACCAGGTGGGATTAGCTGCTGCCTTCCAAGTCTCAGCTTGGTGCATGCACAGGGTTCCCCAAATGGAGCTGATGGTGGCTGCTGTGAGGTGCTGATCCCTGAGGGCAGGCAAGAAGCAGCCAGGCTGTCTGTGTGTTCAGGGGACACATGAGCAACTGCGGTGGTGGCGGAAAATCTGTCTCCCTCCATCTGTCCAAATACCGATTTTGTCTTCTGTACCTGGTATCTGCTGCCGTGTGAAGGAGATCTTGACACACTACTGGTCCCTGAAGGCATATCCATGACAGAAATTACTCACACACTTGAACACAGGCGTGGTTCACATGTCCTGGTCCCACCATATCATACAGTACCCAACAGTATGCCTCTGCGCTTCGCAGAGCTGCGTGGTGGTGAACAGCTGAGTGCGTGCTGGTTAAACAGAAGTATCTTCTCCTTAGCATCGTGTGCCTGCAGGGGTCGAGGGCTGCAGTGCTGGTGGTTAGGCTGCTGTGCAGAGCTACCTAGCAATGGTCATGCTCCCTTGGACCGAGCTCTCCAGTTTTAAAATCCTCATGCATTTAGGAATTCTTTGCTTTTGACTTTCCTTTGCAAAAATAACGGAGCTGCTCCAGACACAGTTGCTCTTAAAACTTACACCATCGTTGCCTAGTCCAGGATGGAGATGCTGGATTTCCGTAGCCTGCAGAGGGCAAGGCAGTGCTAATGTGTCTGTTGAATCCTCCTAGGGCTGAAGAGCTTGTATTAGAATGTTGCAAAGGCAATATAGAAGTCAAGATTTCAAAGAAGGAGTAATGTTGTTGAGGGAATGGGAAGCAACTTCGCCAGTCCTTCTAAAAGGCAGTGGAGATTGTGACTTCTGTGCCAGATAGTGTTAAATGTAAAAGTGGCCAGAGACTCTGCAGTCAAGTCACAGCTGTCTCCAGTCTCCTCCTGAAAATGGGACACCAGCAGTCCTGACCTTGGACCTGGCTAATTTCCACACGTGAGCCTAAAGCAAGAATTTACTGAGGGAGGGGAAACTCAGGTAGGTATGTTAGTACATATATTTACTGCTTTTGCTTTGCTTATGGTTACAGAGCTAACTTCTCTGAAAATGGTGTCTGAAGCAGATGGGCAAAGAGCTGAAGAGGGGTTTGGGGTTTTGATTTTGTTTCTTCAAGACACGGTTTTATTTTAACAATATATCCAGCAAAAAAGTTAATAAAAATAAAGTAGAAAATAAAAGGAGAGAAAAAATATTACTAGCAGCCCTAAAATCATTCCCAAATGCATGCTTTTGGCAAGACAGGGAGATACGGTATCTAGCAACATAAATCAATGCACTGTATAGAAAAGGAAAACAGACCAGCATGAACATTTAAATATTCAAAGAAAATGCAAGCTAACATTTAAAATTATTCTGAAAGCCATCTGGTAGTGGACCACTCAAATGCACAGTTATATGATTAGTAATGTGAAGTGAACATAGGCAATGTCCTGTCTGGGTTCTTCACCAAGTTGGTAGAAGAGATGATTGCCTGCTGCGCTTGGCTTCCAGGGTAGAAGGAGGCATGCTGGTGGTGAGTCAGGGGCGCTTGGCTTGGCTTTTAAACTAAGCACTGAGCTTCCCTGCTCCTGCTTGCTTGGGGATTTGGGTGGATCTTGGCCCTGATATTTATCGGTGGAGTTTCTAGGCAGCAGATTGCTTAATCTTTCAGCACACAGTGACAGGAATTTTTGCTAGCCTGGATGGGACCAACAATGAGTGTTGCATTGCAGTGAGCTTTAGAGGCATCATCTATGCAAAAAAAATGAGCAGAATATAGGCTACAGGGTGACCTTCCCTGTGACTTTGGCATGCAAAGGAACAATCTGTAGACTATCGTATGCTCTATTTCTCTCCTTGATACACAGGAAAAAAACATTGGTGCAAACCTTTTTTTCAGCCTTTTTCTTCAGCCTTAAACTCTGTGTGTTCCCTTCTGATCCCATCCTGGAGAAAGTCTCCTAGTTCACCTTGTTTTGGAGACCTTTGTGGAGAAAAACACTGACCCACATGCTTTATCCAAAATAGTGTCTTTTTACTAACAGTGTCTTTTGTTTATCAATCAGCTCACCTGGTCTGTCTTGGGGAAGTATTATCTCCATAGATGCTCAAAAGTTGTTTGTGATAAGGGTATGAAGAAGCAGGCAGGAATCGGCATGTTCTCAGAAGTTTTCAAGAGCTCCAGGAGGTATGTATGGAATTGCCTCGAGACATCCTGTAGCCCTTGAAAGAGCCAATGTATGTCTACCAAAATGTCCTGGGAGCAAAACCCAATAGTTGGTGCTTGTCTAACGTGTGCCCTTGCACATGCTGTCTTGCATCCGACCACACCAAAAGCACGAAAGACGTCAGCTCCCTGCTGCCTGTCCCAGTGGCAGGCAAGGAGGATGGCTGGTGCAGTGAGCTCTGGGCCAGCATCTCCCCTAGCTCTGGTTTCCTGCAGCATATACTGGCTGTAGAAGTAATTCTGGTATTGTTTTTTGTTTGCTCACTCATGCTCAATAAAGTGTCAGGAAATTTACTTGAGTTACTTACTGAGTTATTTACCTTGTCTTATAGAGCAGACCGTCGGGGCCCTAAATTGGTATTCTTTTTTTAAAATTCGTATACAAGCCAAAGTTGTAGTTTATACATGGCATTGCCCTAACTAGCAGTAGGCTCGATAGCACTGACATACGATCTACTGACAAACTCATTGCAAAGTCTGCTTCAACCCTGCAGCTCTTTAAAGTGCTCTTTTCTGTAATTGCCTCTGTCTGTCCAAATCCCTTCCTTCCTTCTACCTTCCAACTTTGGAAACTTTACAAAAGGCAAGATGTGGCTCTAGCATTAAGGGTATTTTTTTTGGTGAAACTTGGTGTTCTTCTACCCCATGCCAAGCGAACATGCATCCACCACTTGCTCAGCTGATAATTGAAGTGATCTGCACTGCTGTCCCACTGCTTCTGGTAGAGTTTCATCGTGGCCAAAGTTTCCATGAATCCAAACTGATGATGGGGCGTCACTAGAAGTACCAGCCTGGGACATTTGTCCTTGTTTCTAGGCATGTTTCAAAAAATCTGGAATACCTAAAGGGCTGTGAATCTCCTACATCTGCTCTGATCGTGGAACTATAATTTTAAGAAAATGTTCTTGGGACCCCCCAGAGCACGTGGAGTTGTGGGAAAGCACTGGCATTCAGCTGTGCATGCTGAAGTAGGTGAGAAGAGGCAGATTGGTGACATGCCTCCAGCTTTTTCTGCATTGTTGTGATTGTACAGTGCCCCTCTATTTCCTACCTATCACCCTGTCACAGACCTGCGTAGCAGAGCATCGTTTGTGCGGCCTTTCGTCCCTGCGTAATTACCCTTCCAAGGTGCTTATGATACTAAGCCACTTGTTTAGTGAGCTAAAGGCCCCATAGCTTCACGGTGTGCTTCTGCCCTGTCCAGTGCAGTTTGTAGATTGATGTGTCTGAGCTGGAGAGCTGAAGCAAGGGAGAAGCACTGATCGTGGAAAATGTGTAAGGCAAAAATGAACGATAATGGCAATGAAGAGAATTGTGGACCATTTAGTTCAGCTTCCCCAGCTCCCAGAGGATATACATAATTCTCCTAAAGGCACTGCAGAGAAGATCTCACAAGGCAGCATGTTATTTAACAT